ACACTTTAAATATGACTAAAGTCAAATCAGCCTGGAAGGCTCACCCTAAAAGAGATCCAACCTCGAATAAGGTACAAGAGGCTGCATGCACCCCAGGGCCCCAGTGTGCACAACTTTACCCATCCACACATCCACAGGAGGTCTCGGGTCCTACCTCTCCCGGCCATAAGCCTCAGCCCCAGCCCCAGCCCCAGCTCACTCTTGGATGTGGCATGTTCAGGGCCAGCCCTGGGAGAAAGCTATGGCTGGCCTGGATTCGGCATTAGCCCCATAAATGTCTGGATATCCAAAGATTCAGGAAATGAAGTTGGCACCAGTCTCTAGTTGGTGGCTCCCCCAGGTTGAAACCAGCCCTCAGATGTGTTCTGTTTGACCTGCATAATTAAAAAAAAATCGGATCCAATTTTTAATATTGGAAATCCCACCTAAAGATTCGGGTTTCTGATATCTATTGAAAACATAGCAGCACTTGGCTGGAACTGCGTAGAGGCTACCTCATTCGCTTTTTAAATTAAACTTTTTTCTTTCAAGGTTGTACATGTTCAGGATATAAAATTCAAAAGTACAAAAGGGGGTATGATGATAAGTGAGTGTCTCTTCCACCCCATTCTGCAACCTTCCACTGCCCCGCCTCCTCCCCATCCCCAGGAGCAACAATATTTTTTTCATACACAAGAATATGCATATACATTGTTTTCCCCCTCAAAAGTGGTAACATGCTTCTCTACATCTTGCTTTTTTCCCTTAGCAAATTACCTGGGAACGTGCACGGGAGCTTGCTCCAGTCTTTTTGGTAGCTGCCCTTTAGACAGGACAATAGTTTCTTGTTTGCCCAGTTGCCACTGTACCTCGTAATCTCACGCCTGTCCTGCTGCACTAGTTTATGATTCTTGCCTAGCCTCTTTGGCATCTGAGTTTGCAGACTCTTGCACAGGTGGACCGAGCAAGCCTCCTTCTCAGCCAGGGAGCGCTCAGGCCCTCCCGCTCTCTGATGCCTGCAGTTCCGGGACTTGCCGGCAGAGGGAGAAACAACTCCACTCCCAAGACCACCAAAGGGGTCTCCCCAAGGACATTACGATCTTGAAATGTCTAGGCAAAAGATGCTATCTGCCCAGACACAAAGACCCTTTCGCTGGACTGGAATCCCCCCAAGGCCTCCCCTTCCTCTGTTTCTATTCCCCCCTTGAGTTTCCCACTTTGACAAAGCCCCACCCTCCTTGAGTGCCCCCTCCATTCCTTGCAGGGACTGGCCCCTCGTGAATGGGGGTCAGGGAGGCCTTGTCTTAGTCTAGGGCCTGGGATTGAGAAATTGCCTGGGGTAACCACATAAAAGAAGCATGTAGCTGGATGAGCAATCCTGCTTCCCTGTACCCCATGCTGAGAAAGAGGGGGGATGTCCACTTTTCCTGCCCCCAGAAGACAGTCCCCAACAGAGCCTTGACCTTCCAAACGCCTTTTCCCTGTCCTTCACTCCACCCTCCCAACAGTACCCTTTCCCTGGCCTGGCTTCTGCAGTCCTCCTTCCCACCCCTTGTGATGCTGTTGGGGGTCGCCTGGAGTCCAGCTGGTGGCCAGCATAGAGCCACCCCTTTCCTGGCCCTGCCCCTCCCCATGACCCCAATCCTCCGCCAGCCACTCAAAGGCGCCTTGTTCTCCATCCAGCCCCCAGACAAAAGTCCTTCTGTCTAAAAAGGCCGAATTGGGGGGGAGGGGGCACCCCAACGGGGACCATGCGGGGGCCTGCACAGACCCCAGCCGGAAGGAATGCGTTGAGGAGGAGGGACAGGAGAGGGAGAAGAGAGGGGAAGGGAGCCTTGCCCGGTGCCGCGGGCCTTATCCGGAGTGGGAAACAGACGCCCTTCTCAACGCCCACTGTGTAGACCCAGGTTCCCAACACTCTTGGGAAGGGCCTGGGCTGGGAAGTTCTGGCCTGGAGCTCGGGAATCAGTTCCCAGTCTCTTTAGGGCAGGATGGGCACAATGAGAGAGGGGCCATGGTCTAAGGCCCAACGGCCCCACCCCACCCCTACCCTTTGTGCATCCCGTGTCCCCTTTAAGACTTTGGTCATATCAGCATCTTCTGCTGACCCTCAGACCAAGTCAACAGCAGCAAGTGACTTGGAAAGGGATGTTAGATCTCCCATAATCATCACCAATCCCTTCTCCAAGCACAACATATGATCTAAGTAATAGAAATTAAACTATTATACCTCTGTATTGCCCTCCCTCACCACTCCACCAGACAGAAGCTCTGCTGTTAAAGACCCCAGAACTTCTTCCTTCCAGGTCCTTTTCTGAGGGTCAGGAGATTGAAGAAAGCTCCCTCCTCTAATGTGAGGGGCCGAGTTCCACCCCATCTTATTCACTCTGCACCTCACCTGAGGCTGCTATGACATTAGGCCCCTATCACTAGTGGGGGCAGCAGCAGGGAACTGTCTCTTTAAGAGCAGGAATGGGGTGAGAGCCCCTGTGCTTTAGGGAGTCGACTTGTTCTCTACCTGCCCAGCTTTGCCCAGGTTTGCTTAGGGCGTGGCAGCTGCAGATAAAGGCAGGACTCAGGCTGAACCTGAAAACTCCATGCAGCCTGGGGAGTCACACAGGTGAGCTGCTGGGGCACCCTCCCTCCAACCCTCTCTTGGTTCTACCCCCAAACTATCAGCCCCTCCCCCCACTACTCTCTGTTAAAGACCCTAGAACCTTCCTTCTTCCAGGGGCTTCTCTGGAGGGGATTACAGAAAGCCTCCCTCCCTTAATGAGAGCTCCCCCATCTATTATTCTCTTCTCAGGGGCTGGGTGAGCCGGCTGGGGTGAAGATAAGGCCCACAAGTAGGATTGGGGTGTCTGGGTAGATCAGGGGTGTCTGAGTGGACCAGGGTGTCTAGGTGGCCAGGGGTGGGTTGGGGGTGCCTGGATGGGGGTATCTAAGTGGTCTCGTGGTGGCTGGGAGTATCAGAGTGGATGGGAGGGTATGTCTGGCTAGACTAAAGATTAGGGTTCTGCGGATCTAGGAAAAGGAGATGGTGTTTTCTGAGGAGCTGTAAACTGGGGAGTTGGGTAGAAGATTTCACGCCCGAAGAGCCTGGCCACCATAATGGAGGAACAGAAGGGAGAACAGGGGGGCAGAGACGGGACCTCTGGGGCCAGAAAGGAGCTGAGAGGGGTGGGCAGAGCCTCCACCTGCAGGTCGCCTTTCTCTTCACGCCTCACACTAACTGCAGTCATTTTGGGAGCATCCCAGGGACTTTTCCAACAAGGGCTGAACTTGGGAAGGGGACGGCAGACCCCCAGACACCAGCTCCTTTAGACACCAGCCTACCATGGGAGAGCCAGGCTGGAAATGTTGTGCAGGGGCTAGGGCATAGCTGAGGTCACCATCCGTCTCCCCTGAGCTGGGGAGGCCTCGCGGTGGGGCCGGGACCCATGGAAAGAGGCTTAAGGGCTGAGACTCTGAGTCCCGGGTGACAGAGTATACAGCATTAAGCTGAGTTTGCAGGGGTTAGAGGGTTACGACAGCAATGTGGAATAATCACAGTGCCAACTTCATTAAGCTGCGAAGATTACATGCGTGAATAAGTGCACAGAACTGAGAACAGTGCCTGCCGTGGGATGAACACTCACTAAACCCACGCTCTTGTTACTAGTGCTAGTATAGTCACAGAGTGACAAAGCCTCATGAGGTAGCTTTAGACAACAGCCAACCTTCTCAAGACCTGAACCCAGAACCACTGGGCTGTCCTGCCTGCACACCGGTTCCAGCTCTCCCCAAAACAGTTTGGGTTCCTAAACACCTTAGTAATGATCCCCAAAGCTACAGGCCTTCTTTCTGCAAAAAAAAAAATAAATAAAAAATGGATGCTCAAACTAAAATTATGAATCCCACCTATGGGATTAACAAGAAGCTAAGAGGATTCCCAGGACCTGGGGTGGCGCGGGGCAGAGGGCCGAGTCTGTGGGAAAGAGCAGGAAACAGAAAGCAACTCGGATGGGGGTTACAAGGAGGGAACAGAGGGAGGGAGGGAAGTGGGGGTTCTCTCCAGCTGTGGACAGGAGTCCCAGAGGGGACACCACGGGGTCTGTCAAATGGGCTTTCTACCAGGCTTGGGGAGGATATGTTTTTTCCTGTCATGAAATGGGATGCATAAAAGATGACCTTCAGGGTGGCTGGGGACGAAACGAGTGAAAACTCAGCAGGGTCATTTGGCAGTGCCCAGTGCAAGGTAGGTCAGAGTAAGTGTAAGCTCTTGCTATCAAAGTTATGATAACATATGCTTGTCGCCATGGGGCAGGGGCAGGGACAAGGCAGGGGGACAACGCCCAAGACGGGGGGCTTATCACAGGCATGCAGGGTGGTAGGGGGATGGACAGACCAAGCAGGCCTTCCTGGCGGAGGAGGAAGAGCTTGCTGCCAAGAGGAGCTTGCTGGTAGGGGCTGGGGTAAGAGCAGGGGCTTGGACTGCGATAGAGGCAGGACCAGGGACTGGGGTGGGATGGGCAGGAATGGGGCAGAAACGGGGGCCAGGGGTCAGGGTGGCACAGAAGATGAGGCTGGGGCTGCAGCCAGGCCGATTCTGCTCCCAAGTCTGCCCCCCACCCTCAGCCCTGCCTTGTGCTCTCCCCTCCACGCCCTGCCCTGAGCAGCAGAGTCGTCTGGGCATGGGCGGGCAGGCTCCAAACTGTCTAAGGGAGACACTCCCGGAACCGGGCCTCCTGCCACCTGGCTTCTAACACTCCATTTCCCAAAACACCCCGAGGCTCTGAGAGTACTGAATTAGGGACAGCTGCCGCAGAGCCAGGCCTGATTTAAATCCCGCTTCCCGGCAAGGTGACCTTGGGCACCCACTTCCACCTCTCAGAGCCTCAGTTTCCCAATCTGTAAGATGGGGATAACCGTAGGCAACTTCTCCCTCATTGGGTTGCCAGGGTGATTCACTTAAAGCCTCAAATCCATGTCTAGTGAGCTCTCACCCAGCCCTCACTGCACTTTTCGGCTCCTTCTTATCTCTAAACCTTCAAGGCCAGCCTGTCTGCCCCCGGGGTGAGTTGTGTACCCTGGGTGAGGAGTGGAGTAGGAGGGGATTGGGAACCAGAGGCCCTAGTGGCATCCTGATGGCCCTGCTAAAGCTGGACCCTCTCCCTCACTCCCCCAGGCCAGCGCTCCATCATGCAACAAGTGGCCCTGAGCCTGCTCGCTGTCCTGGCAGGTGAGTGCCGTCCCCTGAACTGCCTTTCCCCTGAAGTCCTCAGCTGAGTGGTGGCCAAACCTATGTCACATGTGTCTCTCTCATGCTTTCTGCCTCCCCTGTGGGGTGGTGACTGTCAGCTCCCTGGTGTCACGCCGGTGGTTTCAAGAGAACACAAAGATAGGACCTTCCATAGATGCAGCTCACACAGCTAGGAAGTCACCATCTTGATGTCTCATTGATGACATCAAGGAGGAGGCTCAGCCTTGGGCTGCAGTGTCTTTCCCACCTCCCTGACATTTTCTTATGAAGGGTGACCGGGACCTTAGTAGGTATGCAGCAAGTTACTGATTGTGCCTCAGTTGCCCCATCTGTAAAAATGAGGACAAGAATAGCACCTACTTAGAGAGTCATCATGAGGATTAAACGAGTTAGTACTTGAAAAGTACTGAGAACAGTGCCTGGGACGGAGTACGCACTATGTGTTTGTACTTTAAATATAATTAAAAATTATTAATCTTCCTTTAACAAAGAAATAAAAGGGCTTAGGCCCAGAGCTAAGGCAGCTCAGTGTTTCTAGCCAGAATTTGATCCTAGGCCTTTGCTTTCATTGTATTTGTTTATCCATTACATCGGGCAAGGCTTTATTCCCCTCAGGATAGTGATGGCAAGTTGCATTTTTAAACAAAGTTACTAAATTCATAATTAGTGAGTTGCTTTAAAAGGGAATGGTGAGCAAACATCATAACAGGTGGGGTTTGGATACGGCAGAATGGGGAGATAAGCCCTGAGAATGGCTGGGGACTGATACCATCTGCCATGTAGATAAGAACATTGTTCCGTTTCTGGAGGCGGCACAGATTAGCCAGGTATCTGGAAACATAAGGGTGGCCAAAAGCCACCCAGATTAAAACCTCTTTCAGGAGGCAAAATGCTGGTATGGGGCTGAGTGGAGGGTCCACATCTCGAGATCAGACGTGCTAGTTTGGGGCTGGACCCCTGCACCCTCGGGAGGCAGGGAATTATCCGTCAGGGGACCTTATCCTGAGGTCCTTGAGGCCCATGGCTCTGCCTGCCAGCTTCACTGAGCCCAGCACCACCATCTCCTCTCTTTCCCTGCTTCTCTCACCAGGCCTGCCTGCCCTGGACGCCAACGACCCGGAAGGTGAGTCAGCCGGTACTCCTCCACCAGCCCCACCCCCAAATTCTCCCCCAGGACTCCTGCATCCTGGCTATTGTCCTGAATCCGTGTTCCTTTTTTTCTTTCCTTTCAGATAAAAACAGTCCTTTCTACTATGGTAAGAGCTGGTGGCCCTCCCTTCACCCTTAATACCCCCACCCCTCATACTGTTTGGGGCCAAAGGTCCCACACAGGGTTGGGTGAGGGGCTGATGTGGGTGAAAAAGGGCAAGGAGAAGGAAGGGGCTTGGACTGGGGCATTGACCAGTGGATTCAGGGAACTAGACATGCCAGCCTGGTGCTCAGGAACATTCATGACTATCCAGTAAGACAGTTAGACACACACAGGAAGCGAGGACAGTTCACAAGAAGCCGTTGTTATGGTTCAAATCAAGCCTTCTGGGAGAAGGGTTGACTTGAGAAATCCGTCTGGAGGAGCTGAGCTATTTGGCCCAAATCCTCCTGTGGCCTCCAGGATCCGGTTGATCTGCTCTCTGGCACCCCTCTGAACTCACTCCACGCTCACAGCTTCTGCTCAGGCGACAATGGCCTCCCTGCTGTTGTTCAGACAAAGCAGACACACTCCCAGCCTCCGGACCTTGGTGCCTTCTGATCCCTCTGCCTGGAACACTTTTTCCCACGTAGCCCCAGGGCTCCCTCCCTCTCCGCCTCAGGTCTCTGCTCAAATGAGGCCCCTCAGGCAGACCTCCCCTGACCACGCTCCCTAAAAGGGCTGCCCTTTAACTTTCTGTCCCCTGACCCTGCTTATTTGCGTTCAGACCACGTCTCTCCACCCGACCCTACATTAAATCTCTTGTTGCTTGCTTGTGTGTTAACTAGAATGTGAACACAGGAGGGTTGTTTTCTGCACTGCTGTATCCCCAGCACCCTGCACATCATAGGTGCTCAATACATCTTTGTCAAGTGGATGGGGGCCGGGATGGGGAGGACATCAGCTGGCACTGAGGGTCCCTTCTGGGTTTCTCCTAGATTGGTACAACCTCCGGGTCGGTGGGCTCATCTGTGCAGGGGTTCTGTGCGCCCTTGGCATCATCGTCCTCATGAGTGAGTGGGAGAGCTGGCAGGGGAGTGGGCAGGGCAGGGCTGTGGGCCCCCTCTCCTGACCATTCCTTTCTCCCCAACAGGTGGGAAATGCAAATGCAAGTTCAGCCAGAAGCCCAGGTGAGATAGGTGGGTTCCAGGTGTGGGCCTGCCTCATGCTGGACAGAAACCTTTCAGGGGTGAAAGGGCTAAATCTTGCAGAAAGAGGTCAGGCCTTCAGGCTCTGCCCTGGAGAATTCCTGCCACTAAGATTTTCCAGGTTTATTGCCCAGAGCTGATAATCCTCAGAGGGCCCAAATCCTGAATGTTTTGGTCCCTGGGATAGTACAACCCTACAATGGAAAATAACCAGAAAACTATGTCAGGGGAAGCTGAGAATCTTCTAGTCTTGAGAGAGAGGACAAAACAGGGGTGGGCACAGATCTCACCACATTTGTTTTCCTAGCCACCGACCAGGGGACGCCCCGCCTCTCATCACTCCAGGTAAGACAGACACAGGTGGGGCTGAGGGGAACGTGAGACATGAGGGTGTGTGTGTGTGTGTGTGTGTGTGTGTGTGTGTGCGCGCGCGCACGTGCACTGGGGAGAAAGAACTCCATCCACTCTTGCAAGTTGACCCCATCTCCTCTCCCAGGTTCTGCCCATAACTGCTGAGGATGGATCAGCTGAAAGAGCACAGAGGTCTCTCTCTTTCCCAAGTCCTGGCTCTGCACGGGACCTGCACTCCAGGGTGGAATTCTCCCTCCTCTCCTCAGATGGCCTGGCCTGGCCTCATCTCACTTCCCACTGGAGGGGTCTCTTCATTCAGTTTTTAATCTAAAATGATTTTGCCTCCTGCCTAACCAGTCTGAGACTCCCTATGTGTGCATTGGGGCGGGCTTTTGGGGGCCAGGAGAAAGTGGATACGGACTGGGGGCTGCCACAGAAGCTGGAAGCTGAATCTTTTTATTGGGGATAAGCCCAAAGGCCTATTCCCTCATGACCTGGTGGATGGCATAGGGTCATATCTCTCCCACCATGCGCATGGAAGCAACATGTGCAATTCAAAATTGTCTAGTATTCAAATGGGGGACATTTTTGAGACTGAAAGGGAGTTCTAACCAGAGTAAATGCTGGGACACTCAGGTGGACACTGGGATCATCCTACCATTACATGAGTACGCAGATAACTTATAGTTATAACCTATGGTAAGACTGCTATAGCCCTTCTACTCACCCAAGACCCCACTTTATTACGGAAGACCCTTCCTAATGTCCCTAATGAGATCTTTAAATAATTCTCCATGATAGCCCTAATATTTTCTGGCCATATGGTATGAGAACCTCCAATGAACCTCAAACTCTCTTGAGACTCCCCAGTACTCAACAAGACCTCCAAAATGTCCCCAAGAGCTACCCCAAAAATTCCTAAAACCCCTCAAAACACCCCAAAATATCTACAGTGCTCTAAGATATAGCCCCAAGAAGAGACCCACAATAAACCTGTGACCTGTCCCCTAATAATGTCTTTATATCTCTCAAACATCTTATGAGCCCCCCCATAATCATGAGCCTAAACTCCTTAGAGACCTCTGAGAGCTCACTATTGGCAGCCAAAATGCACCCCTGGGACATCCCATTCCATAACACTGTTTCCTGGACACTGCCCCCACCCATGCCACTCAGGAGACACCCTCTCCCAATGATCCCACAACAACAGGTAAGGCAGGTGCACAGCGTGTTTATTGAGCTCATATACCTTCTGCCCTTACCCCTGTCACCCACCTGAGAGAGGTACCCGGGGCGCCCTGCAACAACTCTCGCTTTCCCACCTATTTCCAGGCCAAGAGCAAAAGGGACAACATGCTGGGCTTCCACCACAACAGGTGTGGGCACAAGCAGCAGAGGAAGTTAGCAAGCCTGGCAGTAAAACCAGCCCAGCAACTGATGATGTCATGGAGGCGTGCACTACAAGCGATTGGCCAGATTGAGTTTAGAGGAGAAAGGAAAGCTATCTCCTCCTGAGTACTTTCACAGGGAGCAGGAGGGGTGAGGGTGGGTTGAGTTGGGGGGGTGGGGGGTGCTTCCAGACCTCATGGACTTTTGCACGTTACTCCCACCATGACTTCTGTATTCTGGCTCCATGCCCCAGCCTGATCCCCCACATCACCCTTGGTGGGGAGCATTTGCCTCCAGCCAAGATGTTGCTTAAGACTGGAAGGGCAGCATTTTCCTTGAACTTGCCCTGTGGCCAGTATCCCACAGGACCAGCCAGGACTCCAAGTGGGGCCAAGAAGTCAGTCAAGGGGGTGTCCAGAGGCTTAGGTCTCCCCATGCCAACCTGCCCCCACCCAGGCACGTCCAGGGTCCTGTCTGGTGTCAGGCACTGAGGTCTAACTCATGAACCTGGTAGATCTGTGTGGGGCCCTTGAAGCAAGCAGCAAACAGGAAGCGTCTGCTGGCCATAGTGATGTGGGCAAAGGCCCGGGGGGCCACCAGGGCCGGAGGCCCCAGCTCCTGCAGCGGTTCCAGGAGCCCCTTGTCAGGCTCAAGGCGGAAGACCTGGCTGAAGGCGAAGTCGCTGCCCAGGATAGCCAGCTGGTCCCTGGCGATGAGCAGCGGCTGGAAGACGTGGGCACCACGTGAGGGAAGTTGCTGCAGCAGGCGAAACATGGAGCCATCCCAGCGCATGACCTGTGAAGCGGGGCCACTAGTTAGAGCTTGGGGTCCAGAAAGGCCATGCCTGCTGGTAGCCCTCTCGGCTTTGGAGGACTTGAAACAGCCTCTAAACAGAGGCCTAGAGGTCCCCAAACTCCCTCAGCTTTCTTATCTTCATAAATGTCACCACCCAGCTGCTCAGGCCAAAAACTGAGTCATTCTTGTCCCTTCTCTCCCACACATCCTAAAACATAGACTCCATCGGCAATGGAATCTGTCAGTTTTACGTACTGTGGTATATATTTCTCCAATCTCCTCTGGCCGCACTCGGACCCAGCCACAGTCACCTCCTCCCGGGGTCTCCCTTCACCTGTCCTTGTACCCATAGTGTACTCCCCACATAGACACCCTCCGAACACCTGAGTGAGATCAGACTTTCCCTCTGGCTATACCACACTCTGGAGGGAGAGTGTTGGGGGAAGTGGGTTCAGCCTTGGGGGTGCAGAGCGTGGTGTTGTAGTTAAATGTAAGTCCTGGAGTGAGTCAGAGCAGAGCCAGAGGTGGAGGGTAGAATCAGGATCTTGAGGCCAGTGTCAGTGTTGGAGGATGGGGAGTGGTTTAGGGTCAACCACCCTTAAGGGGTCATAGTCTTGGAGTCAGTGGGGTCAGAGTTCAAAGATCAGCACATTTAGGTGGGGTTGGAGCTTGAAGGTCAGCCTGTGCGGCTGGGTCAGAGTTTAGAGGCCGGTGTGCAAGGTGGGGTCCGTGCTGAAAGACTAGCCCACGTTGGGTGGTCAGCGCTGAAAAGCCAGCCCTGAGTGGGAGCCAGCTGCAGATAAGGCGTGGTTTGAGGCCTCTGCTGCCCACCCCACCTGTCTGGGTTTGGGCTCACCATGGAGTCCCCGATGTAGCGTGTCAGGCACAGGAACACATCCCCACCAGCCCGAAAGTGGCGTGTGGCATAGACGTCCTCGGCCTCGGGGATGTCTGTGCGCCTCTCAAAGTGGCCTCCAGACCAGTGGAAGAGCACAGGCCGCTGTGAGGCAGAAGCCAGCAGCAGATGGGGCCGGCCATCCAGCTCGAGAGCCTCAGCATCCGTGTCCCGGTGCCAGGCATGCAGGCTTTGGCGCGGGTAAAAGCCAGGCCCGTCACGGCACAGCAGTGTGGTGCTGCCTGCCTTGGAGGCGTCCGCCACCACAAAGCAGGGCTGCCCTTCCAGCCACAGGAGCTCAGCATCGTTGGGCCGCAGCAGCCGCCGTGGGGCCAGGGCTTGTGTGGGGGCCAGGCGCAGGCCAGGGCTGGGCCTGGACCACAGCTGTGAGCCTCCCCATAGGCGGGCGGCCAGCACAAAGAGGCGCAGGCCCAGCACCAGCGGCTTGCAGGACACCACCGAGGGCGCTGTGAGGGAGTCAGGGAGCAACGGGGAGGTCAGGCCAGGCCCACCAGGCAGGCTGCAGGGCAGGCAGGAAGATGGGAAGGGGCTCACCAGGCAGCTCTTCCTCAGGCCGGAAGCGCTGTAGGCTGTAGTCCCAGGTGAGAATCAGGCAGCGGCCAGTGAAGGGCTGTGCCAGGATGATGTGGGGTTCCCCCTGGTAGGAGAAAGACTCCACTCCCAGCGCTGACTCTCCAACCGTCTGGAACCAGGACAGCTCTGGGGGTAACAGGAGAGAGAGAGAGTCAGGCAGGCTCAGGGGACCCCAAGGGTCCTCATCACTGAGCCTTGGTTTGCGCATCTCTGAAATGAACACCATCATGGTGTTCACCTCATGGGGACATAGAGTGTAATCTTTTCATCTATAGCTGCATCAACTCACAACAACATGGTGATACTTTATTTTCTAGGCTTCGTGGCATCATCAAATAATTGCTTAGAAACAGCATATGCAATAATTAATTTAATTTCACAAAATCCCTATGAGGTCCATTCCCTTATTATATCCACTTTACAGATGAGGAAACTAAGGCTGAGAGACACAGGCAGCCAGTTGTCCAGCAAAATCCATCCTTCCCATCTGCCATGCCATAGGATTGGAGCTGGGCACAAAGCTGCCCAGCTAGAGGTCACATCATCCTCCAGCACCCTTCCTGAAGTTAGGTGTGGCCATGTTCAGACCAAGTTACCAACAGAACAAGGGCAGAATGGTGGCCATAATGCTCGCCTCTCTTGTATGAAGACAGTTCGCCCTGGATTTGTTCTCCTTCCCCTTCTCCCCATGAATTGGCAGATGGACGTGCCACAACTTGGTGTCAACCGTGGAAACAAGGACAACACCCAGGGGCTCACCTCAGACCCTCTGTCTTCTTTAATTCATAGTATTTTGAGCCTCTTTGTTATAGCAACTTAGCTTTTATGGTACCGATGCACCCACGTTGCCCAGCGTAGTGGTGGTAGAGCTGAGCGGTTGACTCCAAGTGATAGTACTTTGCTCTGTGTGCCAGGCCCTATTCCTAGGTGCCAGGGTTGAACTACCAAGGATACCCACCCAAAGAGGGATCTTTTAAAACTGTCCATCAAATTAGCACCCCCTGCTCAAAACCCACCATGGTTTCCCACAGCCTTCAGGGTAACATCTGCTCTCTATTCTGTGGCTTTCAATGTCCTGTACAGTGAGGGCCCTGCACCTCTGACCTCATCTGTGTCCTTCCCTTCCTCTCCCGAGCCAGACCTGCTTTCCTTTGATCCTCAAACAGGACAAGCTCTGTGCTGCCTCAGGGCCATTGCACATGCAATCTCCTCTCTCTACAGTGCCCTTCCCTCTGTACTTCACTTAGCTGCATCCAGACCTAACGCCATCTCTTCAGAGAAGCCTTCTCAGATGCTCCTTGTAAGGTAGGACCATCCCTTAACGTCCCTCATCGCTTCCTGTGTTTCTCACAACATATAGCATACATTTATTTGTTCAGTGTTTCATGTAATATTTGTCTCCCCACTCCCCAGGACTGCGAGGCCGGGTGGGGCCCAGGGCTGTCTTCGTCACCACAGCGTGCCCATCGCCTCTCACAGGGCTGGGCACAGAGTGGGCCTTGGTGAATGTTTGTTGAATAACTGAAGAAAGAGTTACCTTTAAGTTAAATTTTCTTGTTCTATGAGTCCCATAGACCTCAAACATGTCTTACACTTAGATGATGATGATGGTGATAGTTACCATATTAACAGCTTTCAGATTTGAACGCAAATGTTCACTCCTACAGGAAGCCCCTCCTGACCCGCTAGCCGTGTCTGGCCCGCACTCTGGCTCTGGGCTTCTGCAGCCCTGTAGGCTCCCCGCCTCACAGCCCTCACCTCTCTGTGCTCCCCCAACACTGGCCCTGACCATTCTGGGCTATCTTCACCTTCCTCTGGACTGTGGGCTCTGTGACGGCATGACCCAGGGCCGTCTTCATCACTGCCGTGCTCTCTGCATTGCCCGGTACCCTTGATGGTACCAAAATAAATATATATGGAGAAGCAAAATCATCATAGGAAGTATTTTAGAAGTGGTCATTTTTATATTAATCACAACATCAAGAGTGAACATTTATAAAGGCCTCCCGTCCTAGGCTCTGTGCCAAAATGCTGTGCAGGCGTGGATGCGTCCCCTGAACTCTCAACAGCAATCCTATGTCACAGTTTATTGCCTCCATTTTACAGATGTGATCACTGAGGCTCAAGGAGGTGATGCTGCTTGCTCAAAGTCTGACGAGCCAGGAAATGGCAGAGCAGGAAGTGAGGTGAACCCCTCAGCTCTGGCCACTGTCCCCCTGATCTCCCACCTTCTTCCGGGAACCCTCGTTGCCCCTCCCACTCCGCCGGGAAAGCCCCCACCTATGGCTCTGCACTTGAACGTCTTGGGGTCCAGGTGGCGGAGCTGCATGTGGGCCAGGGCGGCGGGGCCGGCGCAGGCCCCAGCCCCCACGCTGGCGTTCACGGTGGGCATCCACTGCAGCAGCCAGAGGACACGGCAGTCACACTGGAACTGGTTTCCACGGAGGTCCCTGGGGCAAGAGGCCGGGGAAGGGGCTGCGACCCGACCCGGCTTCCACCCCCTGGAGGCCATGCTCCCCACCCCCTCCCCAGGCAAGGGTTCAGGCTGGGGCCCCACAGGTGGTGTGAAAAACATGTAAGAACCATCACAGCTGTATGCATTGTGCAAACCAAAAGTGGGCACAGATATCCCCTCCCCTCTCAAATCTTCCCATCCACCCCCACCCACCCAGTCCCCTGAGCCTCACACATGAGTCAGGGTCTCCAGGCCTCGGAATAAGAATCTGGGGAGGGTCTCAAGATGGTTGTTGGCCAGGCTCCTGGTGAAGGGAGAGAAGGAGGAGGGGCCATCAGCAGCTACCAGGACACCCTGTGTCCCTGGGTGATGGGGTGTGGGGTGCCTGTCAGGGCGAGCTAGGGTGGTGGAGGGGTGAGGCTATGGAGGCACGCACAGGTGTGTGAGTGAGCGAAGTCCTCTGAGAGCATTCTTAGAAATGGAGCCAATTTCATTGTCCTCGATGAAGCTGTGGAAGGAATGGGGGGGTGAAAGGAGACCCTAGGTTTCCTGCTGTGGCCCCACAGTTTTTAGGGGAACTCACCCCATGGAAACCACAGGCCACTGGAATGTGTTGAATTCTTCCCCAAAACTTGGCATAATCCCAGAGGAAGCCTTCCCAGAAACTTCTTCTCACCGAGGTCCCAGTTTACAATCCCCGGAGCCAAGAACCTGACCCTGTGGTCACTGCCAGCCTCACAGTGAACACTGCCACCACCATCACCATCACTGCCACTGTGATCACAGCACCAACACTAGCACCATTATTACCACCAATACCTCCACCATAATCCATTATGACTAATACCCATGCCTCTACCATTGCGATCAACCCCAGTACCAATAACTGCCATTATCACCAACACTGTACCATGCCACCACCGTCACCAACACTGCCACCATCATCACCAACACCAACATCACCATTTATTCCCATCATCAACACCAACACCAACACCATTATTACCAACCCCCACACCAGCAACCCTAAAAGCATCACCAACAGCACAGCCTTCACAATCAACACCAAAGTGACTCCCACCATCATCACCACCACCACCGCCATTATCACAAGCATCAGCACTAGCGCCAGCATTGCCAACACCAACAAGGTCACCGTTATCCCCATCGCTCACCTCCTCTCCCACCACCAGCATCACTACTGCCACGGTCTTCACACATACCAACACCTCCATCACCACCGCCAAACCCAGTACCAACAACATTTCCATTACACCAACACCAACATTCTACCCACAGCCATCACCCACACCACTAATACCGATACCAGAATTACCGATGTCTACTATACCGATGATTATCACTAACACCAACCTCTCAAACTTCATCAGCAGTATCACCAACAGCACCATTACCATGGGTGCTGCCATTTTATCAATATCATCCGCACTCCACCATCCTCAATAATGCCATCATTTCCACATGAGCAGGAGCAAGAGAACTACCACCATGATTCTCATCAACACTAATACCAGCATTGCCATACTGTCATCATCACCAGCACCATCGCCAACATCCCCACCTAACTCAGAGTTGTTTCCTATTAATTTGAAACATTTACTGTCTCTGGCCTCTTTGCACCCTTCCTGGGCTCCCATAAGTCAGCTAGGGCCACAAACACTTGGGTTATCCAGGCCCTGTGTGGATCTTCAAGCACAGAGAGGTGAGGTGAGCAGGCTGAGATTACAGAACTGAGCAGGAGCCCTGACCTCACTCAAGAGGTCAGGCCCCTTGTCCCTCAAGAAGAGACCCTTGTCCAGGCACTTTCTCCGCAGGGCCATAAGCCCCTACTTCCGCCTGCTCTGGGAGCCACAGAGGGGCCCCTCCTTCCTCTCCCAGGCCCCCATTCCTGCCCCATCCCCTGGCCTCACTCACAGGTACTGCAGGTGGGACAGGCCAGCAAACGCATCATCCTCAATCACAGAGAAGTAGTTGGATGTGAAGAGGCTGACAAGGGAGCAAGAAAGAAAATTTTTCAGAGTTGTTGCCCCTTAACTGACATTTTAACTCTGGCCCCACCCTCAGCTCCCATGGGCGTTGTCACACATACATATGCGTGCAATGTGAGTATGTGCGTGGACACAGATGTTTTCAGACACACACGTATACATGTGTGTGCCCACCCCCACGTGCATGTGCATGAACACCCGCTTCTGTGAGCTCGCTGTCAGCTCAGCTGGGTCCCACTCACAGCAGGTGCAGTGACGGTACCCTCAGGAAGCTGCCGGCCTTCAGCTGGGTGACTCCAGTCCTTACGAGCGAGCTGGGGACATGGGTAATAGTGGGTGAGAAGAAAACCACTCTAATGCTCCAGTCCCATCCCAGAGCTATCTCCTGTCTGGGGGACCCTGGCATGCCACTCTGCCCTGGGTGTATTTCCCCTACATCTCAGGGAGACAGGCATTTTTCTTTCTCTCTTGGCAAGGATCCTGGCAGCACTCAGCCCACCCCACTATCTCTCCTCCCAGGCCCCTAATGCTGCCCCTGCCCTTTGGAATTTCCCTTCCCCTCCCTTCCAAATCCCAGCAGCCCCCTTTCGGGCATCCCAACATCCTTTGCTGCCCACCTCCTAAGCTCCTGACAGACCCCTGTTTCCTTGAGAACCCCAGCATCCTGCCCCCAACCCCTGGGGTCCCAGGACTCCCATCCCCACCCTTACACTCACAGTGACAGCAGGGTCGGGGAGAAGCTCTCGGGCAGGTCCGGGGAACCTTCACACAGGGCACTGTCTTTGGAGCAGGAACAGCTCAGAGGACACTTTCCCTTTGGGGGTCTCCAGGCCACCCCAGCCCCTGCCTCAGCCAGCAGCAGCAGCAGCAGCAGCAGCAGAATGCCTGCCCCTCCCATACCCCCTCACCCCTGCTGAGGCACCAGCTCCTTTCTGCCCACCCAGCTCTGCCCAGGCTGCGGCCACTACATCTCCCATGACAGGAGACCCTCCATTCCGCCAGCTGGCACGCTGTGCCCTGGTTTCTCTCTCCTCTTTCTGTTCTCTCTTTCAGTCTGTTTTTCTTCCTATATCTCTTTGGCGTCTAATTTTCTGTTT